CCTGTAAATGTTCATTAAAACTAATAAAATTTAATTAAAAAAAATATAGTGAAATAAAAATGAAATTGACAACAAGGCTGGAAAAAATCCTACAGCATAATGATGTGATTTAAATATGCAGACGAGAAAAGGAGGAGGGCACTTGACTGTTAATGATGCTCTCAAATCACTCAAGGCATCCCTTTTCTATTCTATACCCTAAATCCTCTCAAATTTGCATGCAGTTCAGAAAGAAACTATTCCAATCCTTTTATTCCTGATGTAAAGTTCTGCTTTGTGAATTAAAAGGCTAGGGGGAGGATAAAGAGAAAACATACTTACTTTTCATTAGTTTTCCTGATAATTCCTTTAGTGGACTATTTCTACTGGCTACTACAAGTCTGGAGGATTCTTGGTTTTCTATGGAAACTTGGTAAGTTCCTCTGGTCATTTCAAGATGGAAAGGATGGACATCTTCACATTCCTGGCAACGCAGCAAATGATTCTGAATATTGTTAGTTCTACTAAGGTTGACTCTTTCTGACTGAGTCATAAGCAATTGGGGTGAGCTAGAATCCTCCAATCTCTTAAGAGACTCAGTTAAAAAAGATGGTGTGGTTTCTTGCTTTTTAGCTGGAGAGACAGGCTCAGCCAATGAACTCTGCTTCACTGTATTCAGACTGTGTGCTCTTATGCGGGACCAAGTTGTAGAGTAAAAACTTTCAGCCTCTAACCAAAATTTAACCAAATGTTCCATTCTACGAAGTTCCATGAACTGAATGAAATAAGGGAGGACAACAGTGTCATGCAAGACTTGTTCAAGGGTCTTTGAGAGACTTGATTTGGTCTCTTGTGTCTGGTAGTCCAAACATGATCTACCTAAAAGACAAAACCAAAAGAATTAGCAGTAATATACAGGCACAATTTAAGACTAGATTAGTTAGTTACTTTCACAACAGCCCTACAGAGAGATCCTGAGAAAATTTACTTTCTAACAATTTAAAGTAAGAACTAGAAATGTTATAGATTTGGGTTCTAAACTAGTCAAGGAAAGAACTAATAATTATTTAAATACTTAAAAAGCTCTTTTTAAATTTTTTTTTAAAAGCTCTTTATTACCCAATAAATCCTATCATACGACTCTTCAGATCATATAAATTCATGAGGAAGAAAGTATTATATGATCCTCTAAAGCAAATGCTTCAGTTCCTCCTCACTTTCACCTAGTATGGTTGTGTCACCTTGCTGATGAAACCTCCTCCAATCCTGATGCCACATTCTTCTCCATTAAGTCCAGCTTTTCCAGCAAAATTATTTGCTTCACATACAGACTGACTCGGTACACAGAGAGGTAACACCTCTGATACACACCTTTCCCAGTTTGAAACCATGCAGTGTTGCCTTGCTCTGTTTAGATAATAGCTTCTTGGTCTAGGTATAAAGTTCATATAAATATAATTAAGCATTTTGGAATTCCTCCTCTCCTTAGATGTAGTTTGTTATCATCCACAAGGACAAATGCCTTTTGCATAGTCAATAAAACACAGACATTCTTCTGGTATTCTCTGCTTTCAGCCAAGACCTTATCTGATATCAGCAATAATTTCCCTGAATATGTGAATCAAGTACTATCCTGTGCCATCCCCACAATCTATGATATACTGAAACCCAGTTACTGTGTCAGTCCATTTTGTAGAGGTGTTCCTTTCTTTCTCTAACCACCTACTGTTCCTGGCATGTCTTTTTTTCCAAGGACTGGTCCCTCCTGATAACATGCCCCAAACAGCTGAAACGAAGTTTCACCCTTTTTGCTTCTAAAGAGCACGTTGGCTGTACTTTCTTCAAGACCACCAGACATTCAGTATACTTCTCTACACCACAATTCAAAGCTACCGATTTTTCTCTTATCCTTATTCACTTTCAGAAACACAGAAAACAAATGGGATAAGGTGCACTCTTCAGCACTCTGAAGAGATCCCTGACAGCAGATTTTCCCAATGCAACACATCTTTTGACTTCTATCTAGAATGCTATTACCATGGGTGTTGACTGTGGATCTAAGTAAAATGAAATTGCTGACAACTTCAATCTTTTTTCCTTCTATATTGCTTACTACTCCAATGGTAAGGATTTTTGTTTTGAGAGAGAAAGTATCTAGGACTTCCCTCTATATTGTTTAGCTACAGATGGGAAAAAGAAAAACAAAACAAAAAATTATGGATAAAAGTAAAGGTTGGTATCAGATCCTGTGACACTGTCTATCCTACCCAACCAGAATCTCAAGTACAATGAAATGTTTGTGAATGGCACACATAGTGAGCAGAGTTCATTAAACAGTAGGGTCAAGCAAGGACCAAGAGCAAGAAAGCCTTGGATATCACCTCCTATGGCCAGCAGGTCTGAGGACAGGGCACTCCATCATCCCATCAAGGCCGTGGGGTACGGCTCAGGAATGTGGCCCCATTTCTAATGTGGCAATCTTCTAGAAAGCTCATAATAAGCCCTTTCTATAATTTCCTTTTTCTTGTCCATTGATCCAAACATAAAGGCTGCTGGGGACACAAAGAGTTGGAGTTAAGAGACCAAAACAATCCAACAAAAAAATAGGCCAATAACAGACATTCCTGTTCACTTAAACAAAAAAACTGGACACCACAAAACAAACCTCCTTACCATAGAAGTTGAAAAGAACTCATAGTGGCTAGGGTTTCAGAGGCTGTAAACAGCATGGGAGATTGCTTATCTTTCTCCCATGGAGGCACTACTGGATTTAAACCAGAGGCACAATGGCACAACCTTTGGGTTAACATTGATCTTTAGTCTATTTTTTTGACAAGTGTCAATTTTCTTATATCCATATTTCATACATTCCATTATAAATTATTAATGGCTATTTTCTGCTGTTTCTCCTCATTTTGAGCTTCACTGGTTGAAAGCTTTTACCACATTCACTTTAAACAGACTCTACTCAGAAGAGTCTAATATATACGGTCTACCTGATTTACAGCACTGCTCAAGTCTATTTCCTTATTTTTCTAGATGTTCAACACAGAACTTAAGTCTACAGCTGTTACTGTTATACCATCAACTATTACTGTGGAGTACCATCAAATTGGAACTGACCAAGAGCTTATCACCAGTAGGTTTTTAGAGACAGTAAACCACACAGAAACTGACTGCTCATCTTTCTCCCACAGAGCAACCTGTGGATTCAAACCACATCTTTAGGTTGACAGCACAGCTCCTTACCAATAAGCAACCAGAGCTCCCGAACTATTATGATGGCACATCATAACTGTCAATATATGATCCATATATAAAACTTTTCTTTTATACTAGATTACTTATAAAGTTCATATACATTGTTTTTCACACCAGATCTATCACATTTACTTATTTCTCCCTACTGTCATCAAATTGTGGCACCCTCTCATTAACCTCCCTTGATCCTTACATACTTTCTATAATAAGGGTCATTATTTTTTTCCTAGTATAAAAGAAAAATTAATTTTAAAAAATATATTAGAGGGTGGTTGTTTTAACAAATATTTTCCCCGACAGTTATTTTAATTTCTTTTTTTCCCCTCTACTAGTTTATTTACAAAATTCAAATACAAATTTGAACAAATTCTTTCAATTTCCCTCACCCCCTACCATTAAACTGTATAACACAATGATTAATCTCCCTTCCCCCTGCACATCCACATCCCTCTGCTTCCTGCCTCTCCCACCCCCTCCTGGATCCTTATACTTATTCTACAAGAACAGTTTTATACAATATTTATCCTTGTGGGACTTGGTTCACTCATCATAATGTTCTCCAGTCCCTCCCAAGTTAGGTAATCATTTATGAAGTTATTGCTCCTGTATGCTGCATAGTATTCCATTGTGTGACTGTACCATAATTTCTCAATCCATTTTTTTTGTTAGACATTTGGGCTGTTTCCAGGTTCTTGCAATAGTGAATAATGCTACTATGAACACTGGTGTACAAATCTCAATTTGTGCCTCAGTTTTCATATTCTTGGGGTATATTCCAAGTAGTGGAATAGCTGGGTCATATGGAATTTCTATGTTCAGCTTTTCGAGGACACGCCGAACTGCCTTCCAGAATGGTTGCACAATTTTACAATCTCAGATGGCTTCAAAGCTGAATTCTTCCAAACATTCAGAGAGGACTTAGCCCCCATTCTACTTAAATTTAAAAAATTGAAAAAGGAACACTTCCAGAGTCATTCTATGAAGCAAGCATAACCTTAATACCCAGACCAGGCAAAGGTATCACCAAGAAAAAAAACTACAGACCACTATCTCTAATGAATATAGATGCAAAAATCCTTACCAAAATCATAGCCAATAAAATCCAAAAGTAATAAAAAAAAATAACACCATGACCAAGTGGGATTCATAAAAGGTATGCAAGACTGGTTCAACATAAGAAAAATAATGTAATTCACTATGTTAACAAAGTAAATAACAAGAACTGTATGATCTTAGCAATTGATTCAGAAAAAGCATTTGACAAAATCCAACCCTTCCTGATAAAGATACTCAGAAAAATTGGAATAGAAGGGAATATATAATGAAAAGCATATATGCAAAACCAAGAGCCAACATCCCTCTTAATGGATAAAGACTAATAACATTTTCCTTGCAAATAGGGACCAGAAAAGGATGCCCAGTGTCACCACTTCTTTTCAATATTTTATTAAAAGTGCTCGCTAGGACAATATGACAAGAGAAGGAAATAAAAGGCATCCAGATTGGTAAAGAAATGATTAAACTGTTGCTATATGCAGATGATATGATAGTGTGTATACAGAAAACCCCAATGACTCAACCAAAAAAAACCTGTTAAGAGTTAATACGCCAATTTAGTGGAGTGGCAGGATGTAAGACTAACATCCAAAAATCAGTAGGATTACTCTCCAGTAACAAAGAGAACTCAGAGATGGAAATAAAGAAAGCAACCCTGTTTACAACAGCCAACCACAAATTGAGATACCTGTGAGTGAATGTAACTAGAGATACAAGAGATCTATGCAAAGAAAACTACAAAGCATTTCTGAAGACACAATAAAAAACCTAAAGAAATGGAAAAATGTGCCCTGCTCATGGATAGGAAGACTCAATATGGTGAAAATAACAATCCTACCAAAGACAATGTACATGTTCAATGCAATCTGAATCCAGATACCAAATTCATTTTTCAAGGAGATTGAAAGGGAAATTATCAATTTTATTTGGAGAGACAAAAGACTCCAAATAAGCAAAACACTTCTGAGAAAGAAAAAGGAGGTTGGAGGCATAGCACTTCCTGACCTCAAAACCTACTACACAGCAGTGGTAACCAAAACAGCATGGTACTGGTACAATGACAGGCACATAGACCCATGGAATAGAATTGAAAATCCAGAAATAGACCCAGGTGTTTATGGTCAACTGATATTTGACAAAGAAATCAAAGTTATCAAATGAAGACATGATAACCTCTTCAACAAATGGTGCTGGCAAAACTGGACTTCCACCTGCAGAAAGTTGAAACAGGATCCACATCTCTTACCATACACAAAAATCAACTCAAGGTGGACCAGAGACCTGGTTGGAGTTGTTTGGTTTGTTTTTTTTTTTCCTTTTTACTTGTTGTACACCATCAAATTGGATCTGATGACAGACAATAGAGGAAATTGCCCCTCCTTCTCCAGGGGAAGCATCTGGTGGATGGATCAGAGACCTGGAAGGAGTAAAGCCCAAAACTATAACATTTATAAGAGACAAATTGGGATCAAACTTAGAAGCGCTAGTCTAAGGTATAAAGAGACTGTCAAATACAACCAGAAATGCACAATCTAAAGAGGATAAAATTCATGCATGGGACA